ATAGCTCAGTAGAATAGGCACTTGCCTGGTAAGCTCAAGGGCCTGAGTTCAATCCCTGGTTCTGCCAAAAAAAAAAAAAAAAAAAAAAGATTCTGTTGATTAGAAAGCATACTTGTAGTTTAAGTTCCTGCAGACATCAAAGGGGATGGAGAGGTCACCAGTTACTAAAGTATAGCATTCTTAAGTCGCTTGTGTCCTACTGGGAGAAAAGGGTTGAAAAGCTACGGCGTCTGTGCTCCATAAGGCCAGGGACTGCCATTGCTCATCCCAGGTGTCCTACCACAGACCTAACCTATGGTGGATGTCAGTGTTTACTCCATACTATATCTATCTATAGCTAAATCTATATCTATCTATCTATCTATCTATCTATCTATCTATCTATCTATCTATCTATTTGGCAGAACCGGGGATTGAACTCAGGACCTTGTGCTTGCCAGGCAAGCGCTTATTCTACTGAGCTATCTCCCCGGCCCTCTCCATACAATAATCTATACAGATAGGGACATTACTACCTTAGCAAAATGTGAGGACTCATTTACTTCGTTGTTTTGGGTTTTTTGTTCTTTCGTTTTGTATTTTAGGGAAGGGTCTCCAGGGTGTTCACGGTCTCAGTGCTAGATCTGACTTGTAGTGATCCTCCTGTTTATAGCCTTCCAAGTGCTGGGATTACAGGCGCCTGTCACCAGGCCCAGTCTCAGTCACCATCTCAGCATGCCCCAGGGGCGGGGCCGGCCTTGCAGGCCCGGGGATGAACCCCCAGCCCCTGCATCTGCTTGCAGTACTTCGTTGTTGAGTGTTCTTAATTGTTGTCTGACTCCATGGAGCAAACGATGTAATACAGTCGACCTTTTTTTAGACCCACTCATTCTTTCTCTGAACACGAACCCTAAGGTCATAATTTAAAAGAAAAAAAAAGCATTATGTATGCAGATATTCGGAGCCACATAATTTATAATGACAAAAAAATTGGAATAACCAATAAAAAAAGTAGCTAAATATGCTATGGCTGAAAGAGGGACTGAGGAGACAAGAAAATATGTTCTCAAAATATGTGAAAGGGGGGTTAGCTCCGTGGTAGAGTACTTGCCCATACTTGCCTGGGTTTAATACCTACCATGGGGGATATATATATGTATATATATATATATATCAATGGGCCCAAATCATTTTACACCATGTAAGAAAAAAAAAAAAGCTATGCAGCTACCTATTAACAAAAAATTGGAGGGCCAACCAAATAGCCTAAGCAGGATTAAAGCACTTGCGGCTTAGGCAGACATGGGCTGGGAGTTCGATCCCCAGGCCTGCTGTGCTGGCCTTGCCCCCACCCCTAGGCGCTCTGAGCCAGCAATTGAAGCTGGGCACGGTGGCGCTTGTCTGTAATCCCAGCACTTGGGAGGCTGTAAACAGAAGGATCATTACAAATCCAATCTATGCAGTGAGACCCTGCACACCCTGTACACCCTGTCCTAAATACAAAAAAAAAAAAAAAAAAAAAAAAAAAAAGGAAACAGTAAAAACTCACTTTGTACTAAGAGATGGACACCAGAGCATTTTTTTTTAAAGCTAATTTCTTCTAATGATAATATGTTTGCAAAATGAAAATCAATAAGATGGTCTCAGCTCCTTGGATGGAAAATAACCATTAGTCTCTCTCAGGACAGAAACATCCTCACCCTCATTTTCTCCCTTCCCCCCAGGAGCTGGCCTTGAGCTGGGTCCACAGCCCCACAGGTGCCCGCAGAGGGGCTGACAGCCCTCACCCTGATGCCCGAGCAGCCCTGCCTTGGCATCCATTACTTACCCCCACTTTCGGGTTCCCCCAGACCCTAGGTCCCGCCCAGCACTAGTTGAATGGCCTTCAGCAACTTCTCGGGACTGCATCTCCCCTTACTATTTTATACCACATTCCATCAAGTTTGTTGACAAAACAGCCTCCATCAAACATCTGGGTGTTACACAGGAGGGTAGGGGGATCCCAGAGAAGTGGCAGCAGGGGGCAAGGAAGGCCAGAGGGAGAGTGCCGGGGAGCTAACACGGGCATGGCTGGCTTCAGTCTTGCGGGGCCTTTGGGTGGGAAGTAGCTGCTGCCCCGACCCCCGGCTGGGCTCTGTGGACTGCAGCCTGCACACCAAGCGCTAGCGCCAGGCCCACCCAGAGCCTTGCGTCCTGGAGCAAAGAGCCCTGTTTTTCAAAGACACTGTGGGACTGTGCTAGGCTGCGTTACACATATTCTAATTTACTCTCTGAGCTCAGTCCCGGGCTTGTCCAGGTCACTTAGCCCAGGTCACATTGGTTGTGGCCTAAGCAGGGCTGACTGGAGCTTCCATTCCTGGAAATTGCTACCAGGTCCCCTGCTCCAGAGCCGAGTACTAATCAGGGACAAGAAAGAGCCTGTGACTCGGCTGAGCTCCTACTCTCAGGTCAGTGGGTATTTCTGCTCTGCTCCGCCAGTGAAAGAGAGCTGTAAGCTGCTCTGATTTCACAGCAGCCTGTGGCAGGGCCCCGCTAGCCACCCAGTCCCTAAGTCTGTACCACTCTCTGCCAGGAGTGCACGGTCAAATGATGCCTGAGAGGGCTGGCGAGATAGCTCAGTGGACTAAGTGCCTGCTTTGGCAAGCGCAGGGACTGGGGTTCGATCCCCAGTCCCACCTGCCATGCTGGCCCTGCTCCCGGGGTGCACTGAGCTGGCCACCAAGCCTAGGCATGGTGGCACATGCCTATAATCTCAGCACAGGGGAGGCTGAAAACAGGAGGATCACTATGCGTCTGAGCTGCGTAGTGAGACTCTGTACCAAATACATAAATGAGAAAAGAAAAAAAAAATTGATGCTTGAGAGACTTGCTTTTGTTTCGGTAATAGAACTGAAAACCCATGTCCAATACTCCACCCTCACAAAACAAACGCCTTTCTGCTGCCCGGTCTCCCCTGCCCTGTCGCCTCACCTCTTGGGCTCTGTGCATCCTCTGCCTGACCCCGGGAGCTGCTTCTGCCTGTGCCCCTGCAAACACCGAGCTGAGAGACAGGCAGGGGAAAGGCGCCCTGGGCTGTACCAGCAACTGAGAAGGAATTGGGCTTCCGAATGCTTTTGCCTGCTTCTTGTGAATTCCTGGGACATCCTGACATGAGCACTTGGGACTGGGCTGGTCTCCGCTAGACAGCACGCTCATGTCTGTCTAGCCTTAAGAACCCTGGGGAGCAGAGCTGGCTGGCGTGGCCCTGAGCTGGTGAGGGTGTGTACAGGTCCTAGGCCAGCCTGCTAAAATCTTGAGGGGCTAGACCAAGGGCAGGGCGGTGCCTCTCAGCACCTCTCACAGCAGCACAGGTGGCCCCAGTGTTCTCAAAGGCAGAGACAGGCCTGGGCCATCACTGTTTCTCAAACATCCTCAAGTACCAACAGAGAACGGAAAAATTCCAGTCCTCGGAAAAGTGGCTCCTGATCAGTGTCTGTTAAAGAAGACAAAAAGACAGTGTTGGGG